AATTTGAAACACTACAAAATCTTGTTATTGAGTGGTCGTAGTTCCAAATTTAAAAAGAAATAACATATTCTGGATTGTTAATTGTCTGAATAAAATGAAATAGGTACACCTATTACTACAAGTTACGACGTTTTGATATTATTTTGAAATTTCAATCAATGTGCTGCCATCTAGCGGTTCATTGCTGAACGACGACGAATTGGAGTTATTAATTTAGTTCTCCAAATAAGAAGCGACCATACTGCAGAGGTATAAACTTTACTTTCGTTTCTTGTAACAAAAAAATTACTTCGATAAACAGAAAATTGAGAATTTATTAAAATAAGACTCCGATGATATGGCATACAAACACGGGTAATATGTTTGGTGCGGCTAAAATTTTTTTTGAAATTTATTACAATTAATAATAATAATAACGTACATACTCAACATAGCCCCGCATTAGGGAATCCTGGGTCGCGGGTGCCATGGACACACACATAGACAACTACAAATTAAAATTAAAATTGATTTAAAAAAAGTTAAAATAATAATTTCTTTTTTTGTTGTCTTTCTTATTATATTTTCTTTAAATTTGATTTCTGTGTCTCTCTTTTAATCCATTTATTGTATTATATTGTTGTGTGTGTGATGCAAGACAATAAACGTTTTATCTATCTAAGTATCTATAATGCTTCAGAAAGCCATATATTTTTAATTACTACGCCTTTTTAAAAAAAAACAAACAAATAATGATATTAATAAACGCCATCACGTGAGATTGCCTTTTACTTGCTATCCTTTTTATAATGTGCGACATAACCTATTCTAACCTCACTTTAGCACAATCTTATATCAATCTGGGGTAACACTTGTGATGAATGTGGCGCTGGTGTTTAATATCTCTTTTTATTGCCAACGCGAGTTTCCTTCATAACATTGAGGGGGAGATCGTAGACTACCGTTATCTTCGCTCGTAAAGCTATACACAGCCAAGTGCACACCAAGCTGACCACTTTTTTACTTCGTTTTTTTTAGAATTAGAATAATTATAATTTTTTTATAAAAAAAACCGACCTCAAAAGTTCGTGCAATTATTACATCTATTTGCAAAGTTTTATTGGAATCGGTTTACGGAAAGCTGATGAAATCCAATTAACCAGATTCATTCCTTGGTTTGCCACCCTTAGAGGTGGAATATTTTCTTCAAATTTACATAGGACTAATATTGAGTTACCCTCTTTCCAACAAAAAAGGAATTATCAAAATCGGTTCGCAAATGCCGTAATCGCGTGTAACACCCATAAAAAAAGTACAATCGAATTGAAAGCGTAAACAAAGAATCAGCGATTGCAAACCATTATCTTCAGTCAACTAGTTACAGTCCCATATCTTTCTACATACGTTTTGTTTATAGTGCACCTCCCTATCAACCTCTTGGTTATGCGGGAAGGACACTATGACTTGTACAAGCGAGCTTGCACAGGGACCATCTAAGTCAGGTCCAGGATCAGCACGTTTGGACGCACTTCATCCGGTTCTCTGTAAGACTGATGCCTTAAATGAGCTGCAGCACCCTCCCTATTTTCCAGATAGGTACCGGAACTGTAGGCATGCTCACTTCCCGTCGCGCTCCGCTAGCGACTAACGGTTGCCACCGCTGAGCCGCCGACTCTAAACCGACTACCAAATCTCCTCATTGGTGACAGAGCTGTAAGGCACGGTGAACGGTGTCTCTCCAGTTCCCAAGTTCCTACGCGGCCGGACGGACCGGAAGATGTTTAGCTCATCCTCTACTAGCTCTCCGGGCTAGTGCCGAAGATGCCAAGTGGCAGTGTCCTGCGACAATGTTCGGACATAGGCACAGACTTAAAGGGCAACTCACGTGTCCCGCGCGTCTCCTCGCCTCAGGCCCTCAACTAGACCACTACTAAGACGCGCTAGCTGCACGCGAGACGAACGCCCAAGTCAACAAGTTTCAGTAAAGAAGAACTACTAGTAATAGAGTAGAGCTCCTTGTGAAAGAATTCATCCAGAGACGTACTGCCACCTTACCCGTTTCTGTCGCCAAGCAGGAATGTGATCATTACTGCGTTCCGGTTTGGAAGGGGGGTGCTGGTGAAGTTACAGTCACTCGGGGCGCAGCAGCAGGCATAAGGCTTCAGTAACATTACTTAGGCGCTTATGGTTTGACCAGTGGCGGATTTGCCCTAAGGCCTAGTAAGCCTGGGCCTAGGGCGGCCAGATTTTAGGGGCAACCAATCGTGACAAAAAATTCACTGATGATAACAAAAAATAACTCAAAGTAGGTACCTAACTATTCTAAAGGCTAACATCAACAATAATCTTCCTAAACCACTTTCGTACATTTTATGTATAAAATATAGATATGTTACATATCTATAAAGTAATATACAATCACTACTTGACTACATATTATCACTACCGCGTCTGTTATTATAGTTAACTAAATTTCTGAATCGATTTCGGTAAAAGTTGGCAATAAAGTAAATTCATTATGTAGCCTACCAGTATATGGTGAGTGCTGAGAAAGGGGTGGCTGATACTGACTACATGGTCTGGGGCCTAGAGCGGTCAAGACTGCAAATCCGCCACTGGGTTTGACGACACTGCCGAGCTTCACCGAGAATAAACTTGTGCAAGCCACGTCAAATGCCACACACGCCAAAGCCAATCGTGGAGAACGTGTGCTATGTTAGGTAAAGTTTGTCCCTTACACAACATACCCTGGACTACTAACTTGTAGTTCGCAATAAAACTCGACTGTTACACCTTTGAACATCAAGGATTCTTAAACTTGTTCAAATACTTTTGTGAAACTTTGTGTTTGTAGGTAAATAAATAACAATAGACAGGTTTTTATAGCACTGTTTTGCCATTTTAGCCTATCACTAACATCACACTACATCTGCACTCACCCAACAACTTTCAAGCCCTCGAAAGGCGGTGACATCGATATTATGTCTTTCCTGCTCGATGTTTTTACTTTTCTGTCAGATAATTGGTCGAAAGGTGTCGTACTTACTTAAAAGAGAAATAAAAAGACTTATTTCTCCATATAACTTAGAAATAACAATCTTAAAGGTTTAAGACTCATGATTTTCAGTCTTCACATCGGTGAATATAGAGCTAGGTGTTCACTGGCTGCACCAGGCCAATGTCAGGCCTACATTACAGGAGTTTTCCACAGGTAGACTCAGAATTTACCTAAGGTAGACGGTACAGAACGTATTTTATGTACAACCCCCGAAACTCTGTCCGTACAATTGCTTGGCAGGGACTTGTTTACACTTGTTCCACTTTATTGCTTTGTTGTGACATATTATTTTCCGTTTAAATTCAATTCCATTCAAAATATCGATTTTATTGTACATTTTATACTCCATAATATTAACCTTAGAACCAAGTCCAAGCTCATGGTACCACGATTTCGTTTAACTAAGGTAAACGATTGTTTTATGGGGAACTGCATTAGTTTTTACAATAACATTTAGGAGCACATGTTAAGATGATCATTTCCTAAGTTTAAAGCTAAAGTTTTTAGATGGAAAAACGACATGAGTCTAGATTCCACACACATTTGATCAAAAGTGTATTCCATAATAACGATTGTTATACATAGGAAATGAAACTATTTTTCCGGATTTAAATCGTGTACTTATATTTGTTTTTTCTAACAAACCGACGTTTCGGGCCCTTTACAGGTCCCATGGTCACGGTTGACTGAGGTAGTACAGTCTTTAACCAGTTGTCTAATATTAATGCAAACCACCCTATTGTTTCACAATAGTTACTAATTAAATACCTCATTTTTAATTTTACAAAGAAAACATTCCAATTTACGCTACATTAAGTTTTACAAATTATTTTATTGAATGAATTTTTATTAAGTTCAATTTATTTATAATTAATAATAGAAATTAGAATAAACTAAAACATATTAATTAGTACGGCAGTCTTAAGTCTGTTTGGGATTTTTCATCAGAGGAAATACTGGATTCCAAACTGGTGGTACGGAGAAACCATCTTCCCTGTTGAAATTCGGATGTTTTTTAATTTCAATGGCCTCTAGGTAGATATCGGACTTCTTTTGCAAGGACCTGGCGTTTGTCAAACTTCATTGAATGTGTAGGTTTATCCATGACATGCTCGCAGACTGCAGACTTGTTTACGCGACGGTGTTTGACATCAGCTATATGTTCTTTGACGCGGGTACAAATACTTCGTTTTGGTTTGTTTGAAAAAACAAATATACGCGATTTAAATTCGGAAAAATAGTTCGGAGAGAAGTAATCATTTCCTATGCATTCCGTAGTATTTAAGTTAATTTGCAAATAAAAAAACAACCCCTAGATTTTCTTGCTCGTAATTCTCTGGGAAATTAGCAGTGATTGAGCAGTTACACGACCACGGCTGTAATGGGAAGAAAAAACGCCCGAGGATTTTATCTGGGGCATTGTAGTCAAGTTAGCTTGCATGCAATCATACTGTTTACTCGCAAGTATGAAGAAAATTAATGAAATTGAAAAATATGAAGATTATATGTTCCATGGGCGGTACGTGAAATACGAATCTCGACCCCGAAAGGGATTCTAATAGGGATTCGTTTGTAATTCCTTATTTACTGCCCTTAATACACAATGTACTGGATATAATTTTACTGTATGGTTTAAATGACTTTTTGACTTTGACTTTTTTCTTTGACTTTGACTTTCTAATTAATCTTTTTTTAAAAAAAACGCACACACTCAACATAGCCCCGCACTAGGGAAACCCTGTGTCGCGGTTGCCATGGACACACACATAGATAACCACAAATTACACCCAAACTCATGAGAGAAATAAATGTATCGAACCCGGAACCTCTATGCGGCAGTCCGGCATGGTAACCGTTCGGCCACGGAGGCAGTTAATCTATCATTACTCGTGAATGCGACGTCGCATGACTTACGTATAGACCATTTTGAATTGACCTTCATCCCCATTATTAATTGTTGCAGATGCGAGGTCGCGGGTGATTGGCTGGGATGCAGGGCGGCGCGCCAGCCTCCGACGCCGATCAGGCGCAGTTTGAGGCGGACAAGCGCGCTGTCTACAAGTGAGAATTGTCGTATTAATCTTGAATAGTCCACTTTAAACGAGCTAAGGTATACAATAAAACCTTAAATACTAGAAACTAAAACAAGTTGGTAGAGTGGGTCCCTGCGGCAAGGTGCTGGCAGTGTTCCCTCTTTGTATAGCTATGCTAATACGTTTGGCAAGGTAGTAGCTGCCGGGCCCTGGGGTTTGCAGTCTATTAAATTTTTGATAAAATTTTGAAAAGACTGAGGGCACTGGGTCTCTACGGACCAAGGGTTTCGACTCCAAGGGGTGTAAATTGGTAGTCGGAACGGTGGTCCTGGTACTTATCACTCTTTAGTATTTCCGCCAGCTCAGCTGCGGAGCCAGCCCTCTTGCTGGTGTGCTGGAGATAGGGTGGGGCAAGTGTGTCGACATAGTGTGGCGTCCCACACCAATGTTCGGCCTATACTCGTTGAGGGCTGCGTGTCGGGAGATACGGTCGGCGCTCAGCTGGCAGGAAAGACCGTGGTGACCCAGAGCACTTATGTCTTTGCCGCAAAGACACCGATGTGGGGAGCAAACTGGGACACCAAGGCGGAGGTTTGTAGCGCTGTCTCAGCGCTCAGGAAAGTGCCGATACTGGCAGAAGGAAAAGCGTGTAGCCAGTGGCGGGATTCCCACCTGGACGCCGGTTCCAAACGTGCTCGGTCTATTGGGGTACAGTGATTGATTAGGTCATTCAAAGTGTTATTGCTATATTATGTCTGCTTTTGGATATCGGTTTCTAATTCTATCGGTTAAAAGTTTCTTTCTCCTGCTGGATTCGAACCAACGTCTTCCAGCAAACCGTGCCCGACGTTATACCAACGAAGTCACGGAACGAACTAGCGGACCTTACGGATTTTTCTGTTAATGTGCTTATTTGCTTGCTTTTTGGTTTTTAACGACTTTTTTGCCGTACCAACTGTGAGAAATCTTTTTTTTTAATATATCAAGAGATGGGACGAACAAGCCGTGTGCTTGGTGTTAAGTGACACCACTGAGAGCTTTAATTTGCAAACATCTGAGGGACACTGCCACTGCGCCTGTCTCCCTAAGACATAAGTTACTAAGCCTCGTGTGCCTGTAATTTCACCAGCATCCGTAGCCTTCAAAACCGGGGCGTGGTCTGTGACTGGAGCGCAGCAATTCTCATGTTACTGGACGAACTCTTTAACAAGGCCTTCTACTGCTACTAAGCTACTACTTCCTTGTGCTTAAATCCTCTCTAAAGCTCAGGTCATACAGAGGAGGTACAGCGGCTAAAACGGTCCGGAAGCTAACCTGCGGGAAGCGAATGTGTTGGTACCGGGCGTACCACACAGCAATCCCAAACCTAGTTTGCGGCGGAAGTGCGGAGCGATGGTGGCCAGTGTGACACCGAAAGCAGCCACGGTTCATTTTCTACACAGATTTTAAAGAAAGCACCTTATCGCTGTGAAGAAACTTAAATGAAATTGCCTCGCTAAAGTCCTGCTCCCGGATTGCGTCCCGCTGCTACCGCTCTGTGTGGACGGTTGCATTAAGATGTCGTTACGAGTCTCCCCTTTTTTATTGATGGGACATATATATATATAGGTTGACAACGATGATAATTTCTAACATCTGAACATTTTCCTTCCAGACACCCCCTCTTTCCGCTCCTAGCCCTACTCCTGGAACGATGCGAGCAAGCCACAGCTGGAGCCGAGCCAGTAGCAGCAGATGCGTTCGGAGCAGATCTGCAGGCCTTCGTGCAACATCAGAGACGGGATCGAAGACCGTTCCTGACTGATGAACCAGAGATTGATGGACTTATGATTAAGAGCATACAGGTGAGGAGATTTTTATATCGCTCTTCAGGCGTTTGAGCTGCAGAACTGAAAATCTAATCGGAAAATAAAATCTGATCGTAAAGAAAGCTTTTCGAATGGTGACGTCAATTAAAATATCAAGGATCCTGCAGTAACTAGTAGAGGTACAATGTAGTATACTGTTTTTAACCCATTTTGCACGACAGGGCATAGACTTTTTATCTGTGGGCTTGGCAGCTACGTCTAGCTCAACAGAAAGTTGAGACTAATAAGATGGAAAACGGCAGCTACTATATTATCTAAAATAGGAAGCAGTGACATAAAGTAGTCCTACATCAAACTGCAGGTTGAGTAAGAATGACTGTAGTAGAAGAACGCCAAATCGTCGCCTTACTTTCTTAAACTCGTACCCTGAAGCACAGAGTTACTGAAATACAAAAAATGGAAATTTTGCAGGCTGGTATCACATTACATTTCCTTCATATTTACAAACTGGCTTTTACCTATTCTTAAAGTAACGCATCCAAATTAAAACCCTTGATATGAAAATTAAAATAGAAATTTTTGCCATCTCCTGAATAACCACTCTTTATAAGATACGAGTTTAAGAAAGTAAGGCATCGAAATGTATTAAAGATTGTTCCATTTTCATCCACCGTGTCTCGAAACATTATTGATCTCGTGCCGATACTATAAACTCGGATTCTTCAACCATGATGTTGTTAGCCTGACTTTGGACCTTTTTTTTATAACATCAATTGACGTTTAGCTTAGCATCACGCGCGATGGTAACTCAGCCACTCAGAGCCTTAAATTGCAAAGCTCTGAGGGGCACTACCACTGCGCCCGTCACCCTGAGACATAAGTTGACAAGTCCCATGTGCCTGTAATTTCACCAGCACCCATACCCTTCAAAATTGGACCACAATCATGCCAACATTACTGCTTGGCGGCAGAAATAAAATATAAAAAATAAAATAAAATAAGTGACCTTCTTGAATCTTGCTTTAAAATTGGGATGGCTTGTACTTCTCATTTCATCCAAGTCCACCATATCATTGTATCCAAGTTATTGCTGCATTAGTTTCAAATCATCTTCATAACCACTTACCTGTTAGCCAGAGTCATGCCCGAACAAACTTGAAAAGCTTTCTTTCTACTTAGTATGAGACTCATTTGGATCCTGCCGTTAAACTATATAATTAAGTTATAACCTCGTTTTGACAGTTATTGTTTTGAAATAGAACATTACGCTGTCATATTATGGCACATTGTATTGACTTGTTAGACAATTGTGGAGGTCACGACTAGGCAATTATTAAAAGGGCAACACCGAATGTTGTAATGTTGGCGCTCCCAGCATGACAGGTTAGCCAACTAAACCGCCAGCGAACATATAATTATTATGACTTAGAATGATTTTAAAGTATATCCTAATTAAAATTACATCAATCGGGATGTATTTCTGCAGTTAAGTGTGTGGAAAGTTTTTCCGTAAATGGCATCTGGAGCATCCCCTGTCCCCTCTTGTAGGACTACATTTGATCTAAGGAAATTGTACCCTCTTAATTGTAATATAAAAAAGGTGTGAAAAATTTATCTTCAGACGAATTGAGGAACTATTTTTTTCAAATTGTATAAAATGCCCTATTTCGAATTCCAGGTACTCCGCATACATCTGCTGGAACTGGAGAAGGTGCAAGAGCTATGTCGCGACTTCTGCGGACGGTACATCGCCTGTCTCAAAACCAAAATGCAGAGCGAGAACCTGCTTAGGACTGATTATTCCGCTGGTAAAAGAAAATCTCCTGTAGTTTAGTTTCAAACTTTACGCTTTTAATTTGCCTAAGTCGTGAAATGTGTATGGCATGTCGTTGACGATGATCTCGAAACCGTCTTTATACAATCTCATACGTTTTCCTTGCACGAGTAATCGTGATGTTAAAAAATACAATTGAAAATTTTAAAACAAATTTATTGTGTCTCCATAATTACGGACAATCAAACGCTTAATGGCTATTTTACAGGCAATTCCGCGATGCAGATTTCTTATGATTCGTGTCTTGTGTGTTGGTCTTGAATATTTTGAAATAACATTACCTATGTCAATTGTCAGTTTTCTGACGTGTTCCAGAAATAATTTTATGTGTGTTGTTAACCATTAACGGCTATGGAAAAATATCAGGAAGGATAATATACTTCATCGTCCTGTGTAGTTGAGTTATATTTGATGGGGAAGGTGATGCAACAGACCTCTGCTTCTGCTTTCGTAACTGCAAGTTCGCACGGTTTTTCACACCTGCTTCCGTTTTGGCTTCCGCCATTTTAATTACGCAACTTTAATCGGAAGTTCACAACGTTGAAGCGCGCATGCGGATCACTCGGCGGGCAGCGGTGGGGCAAACGTTTTTAGCAGTTTTGTTTTGTTAAGTGAAACTATAAAACCAAAACCCAGCCCTGTTTGGAACTATTTCCTTAAAATCTAATATAGTATTTATACCTCTGCTTCCGCATTCGCTTCCGTTTCCGTTAAGGTTTATTTTTGACACCTGTTTCCGTTATGATACTTCCGTTGCATCACTAATATTTGATAACCCGCTTGACATGTGCTTCTATTAATTTGGATTTTTGTTTTTTTTTATTGTGTTGCAAGTAAAATACACTACATTTTATTTTATTTTTGGTATTGATTTTCCAGGTGGTGTGGAAAGCAATAACAACCTGTCTGGTACAATGGACGATCATTCTAGCACTTCAAACTCGCCACAGTATCAGGTATGAAATGTAAGCGTTTTACGTTTTTCAAACTGTTAAAAAATCATCGCAAATTTTGGGACGCTTCTTAAAATGTACTAAATTTGTGGGGAGATAAGTATATTATATTGACATAAGTGTCTCGGAATCATCTGTATACTTTCCCGATCGGTCAACTGGACCAAACGGTCCACTTTCCTGACGGTCAACTGGACTAAATGGTCCACTTTTCCGATCGGTCAACTTGTCTCCGTTCGGAATCATCTGTCTATTTCCCCGATCGGTCAACTTGACCAAATGGTCCACTTTTCCGATCGGTCAACTTGTCTCCGTTCAGAATCATCTGTCTATCCCCGATCGGTCAACTTGACCAAATGGTCCACTTTTCCGATCGGTCAACTTGTCTGTAAGATATGTACTGGTACTAGTACTAGATATATCGATTACTTTTGCTGGCTAACTAGCTAATTCGAAGGACAGCCCTGTGGCCTTGTTATCATGTCTTTCCAGCTCAGTATTACCGTTTAAACCGTTTGTACTAATTATTTGTCCAAGGTTTGGCGATTACGTTAAACCTGCTGGATAGTTCTATGTCAGGGTTTGCTAATTTGTGGTCCATGGACCCCTAAGGGGACCGTGTAATGAACGCTGAGGGTATGGACCCTCAGCGTTCATTACACGGGCCCCTTAGGGGGCCATGGGGCCAGCGTATCTAATATTAATGCATTAATATAAACATTGATATACAGTATGTTGCGAGTAAATAGATACTGTGCGCGTGACCTTTTTGAATTTTCGCGCCTTTTGAAGGCTATTCTTTATTGGAGCGAGCGGGATGCGTGTCAATGCAACCCACGAGTACTGTTAGGTCATGGAAAAATTTATATTTTGTAAAAATCATGTGTTTCAGAAAAAGAAATATTTTTCCGGATATTTTTCCTTTAATTTTACACATTTGACGTTGACACCTGTCAAAAGTTGAAGTTACTAAACGAAAACGATAGAGCCAACAACAAGTGGTGTTGGTGTGGTTGTTGGAGGTTTTTTCGCTGTCGTGAATGCATTTTAAATTTCATTGTTTATTTTATAATTCATGCTAAATAAAACTTCAAAAGATATTTCTAAACGTAGAACATAATATGAACCTTAAAAATTACATTTTTCCAACTTTTCGGGAATTTTTCCGGAAAAATTTTCACCATTTGAAATTATTCGGAAAATTATTCAACCAGTACCCACAAGCCTTTCTTCTTCTTCGTCTGTTCGGAAAAAGTACGTGTGCTCTTTGAAATTTTGAGCGGGGTCCTCGAGTAGAAAAAGATTAACAAATATATCATTCGCACGGGACGACATACAAATTCGATGTAGAATAAATGTCAACAAACAAAACATATGTTTTTTAGGGTTTTCATCTCTCTTACCAAGTTACCACAATTTAAATATTTTCCTACGAAATTCAACTAGATTATGGATAATACTAAATATTGAAACCATGTTTATAATGATTATTATTCAACAGTACATTCAAGTTTCAAATCACCTAAAATTCGCATAAAATGACTAGTAGTTAATTATTTGTAAAACTGTGTCATCCCTAGTGATTTTTTGATTTGAAGGGAGAAATTGCAAACATTCGAGTTCTGGTGCAACAAGCTTATCAAAGGCAAAGCAGTGTTACCACAATACAAAGTGGGTGCAGCTCGTTTACTCACCAAATGATTGATTATTGCGTGATTCGTGATATCTTATGGGTCACCCTATAAAAGTGTTTTATGATTCAAAATAGTTTGGAAACAAAAATGAACTGTGTACGACTAAATGATTTGCAGTCGCCCCCCGCGCCCGCGCTTCCGGCGCCGGCGTACCCGCCCACCTTCCCCGCATTGCCCGAGCTACCCTTCGCGCCTATCGCCGGTCACGCACACGCGCAGAGGGATCCTGGTAAGTGGCACCACATGATGTATGTGGTAATGTTGGTAAATTAAGAGCGGTTACACACGGTGACTTTTAACAGCGCGTCTGCAGCGATTCGGTCGCGATGCAGTCCCTAATCGTCTACCTTTTTACACACGCGCGACTTAAGCAGAGATGTAATTGCGATGCAATCGCGATTAGATGTGTTCGATCGAATCAAAATGATTCGAACAGCACCTGTGACCCGATAACCCGGTTACTAGCTTCTAAATAACCCGAGGATTTTAGAGTTTCATGGGTCATACGCGCAATATTCGACTCTATCACTATAATTTTAGAGATTATTCCACAATTCACAATATTATTGTTGTCTCGTTCACTCTCACGTGAAGTCCCCACTCACGACACGGTTCGCCTTCTCAATCTTCGTTTGGGTCGAACATTTGTTCGATAGACCACCCTTTCGATAGAACCTTTCTTCGATCGAACCAAAAAGACAAGCAATCGATCAACGAGTCAAGGGGTTAATGGATCAATGAGTCTATCAATCATTCATCCTAATTGCTCCGTGGTGTAATTTTGTAAGTTTTTTTGTTCTGTTTTTCGGTATTTTGTGTTTATTTAAGAGTGCACTAGCCAGTATTAAAATATAAATGTAAATAAATTAGTAATTTTGAATGCTCATAAGTTTTTTGTTATTTAATTTTGTTTTGTAACACCGTTACTTTTCCTAGAAGGAAATTTGAGTGTCCTAAGCGTGGTTTATCAATGATGCAGTTAACTATAGACACATTACCCATCAGCAGGAGAGAATAAAAGCTAATTGTATAATTTGACACTTTTAAACGCCTTATGGAACTATCATGAGAGACGTGTAACCTGCTAAAATATCGAACATATGATCGAATCATTTGACCCGATCACACTACGCATGGGTCATGATTGTACCGGATTATCAAAAATGATCGACCGACACAGGTCTAAATGCGATACAATCGCTATCTACTTGCGATGATACAAACGCGATTCACGTTTTTATTGATTCAACATAACCGACATCGATGTAGCCGCGCGTTGACATTGATCCAGTCACATGTAAATCGTTATGCTATCGCACGTTCTACAAACACGCGTTTGTGTCGTTACTAAAAATCCCTTGTGTGTAACCGCTCTAAGAGCTTCTTATTGTGTCTTTCGGTTCAAAACTTGAACTCGAATTTTAATTGACTTCCTTTTAACCGGACTATTAAAATACCATACATAAACCGTTGATAATGCAATTTTTAAAAAATCTTATGATAAAAATTACTACATATTTTACCTGCTCAGAAAATTTTCCTTCCCTGTGGATATGGAGTGTCGCCTTTTATTCCTTAAGGAATAATGACATTGGATTTCGAGCTTAAATCTTGTACCTACTATTTATAAACACAGCATAAATAACCTGGCGTCTGCGGTGCTCAAATTTACATCAACATTACATTTGTTTTCCTGGGGGGTGAAAAGTAGAGTGGTGCACAGAGTGGAGCATAATTATTTCCATCTATAGATTTAGATTTATAGTTCATTTCACATAGGATGAGTCCTGTGACACTTCATATTTTTACATTCCGCGAATACTATTTCTAATCTAATCTCTCAATCAGGTTACAAAAAGAAATAGTAAATTTGTCATAATGTACTAAAAACAAACAATATTGTTGCAGATGTAATTTGCAATAAAAATTACAGTATATTACCTAAGTAAAAAGAAAATTAAATGTCAAGGATAAAAATAAATAACCCAAATTGCTTGATGGTAAACTTACTATTAATACGTAAGTATTCCAATTATCCGTAGAGATTAATACCATAAAATCGATAAATTGAATCAGCTTTCGCGTATTTCGCGTCAACACGAGTGTTTACATCTTGTATGCGGGTCGTTTTCTTTTGTTTTGAGCATTGCGTGATGTTTTTGGAGTAATTCTTCAAATTTTGTTTCGTTGCAGTTGATTTTATACTTTATTGTTGACTTTTTGTTTGGTTGTTGTTGATTTTTTTATTTGTTGTGTAGTTTTTTTGGTTTTTTCTTTCTTTGTTACAAATTATCTCGATAAGATATTGAAATCGATTTTTTTCATTCGATTTTACATTATTACATCTCTCATTACTACATCTCTAGAAACTTCAAAGCTCAAACGTCACCGGAATCATGTTAGGTAAAATGAACTATAAAGCGTTACCCACAGGATTCAATTACCGAGGTAAATATGCTATTTTGTTCCTTAGTGACACAGTCGACATTTTTTTAAATTACAGCTTCACTGGTGGTGCAAGGCTCAACTCCAATCGGTCAAATCGGGTCTGGACTACTGCCTACTGAGTCCTTCACTGGTAACTTAATATTCCTTTCATCGCATCACATTTCTAATCGCTCAATAGATGTCGCTCATAGTAATTGGAATTGATTGCCAATATTAAAACTTTTTAAATTTTTTACGGCGCCATCTTTTGACACAATATTGAACTGTGTAGTTAAAAGCTATCTATGGACTGTTTTACTAAAAATGCGCGTGTTTACGTGGGTACTATATATGTTCGTCGCAATAGTTAAGCTTGAAAACCAATTACATTTTCAGAACGTTTTTTTTTCTATATTTCACTTAAGTTAAGAGAGTCTTTCATATTTTTTTTGTTTCTTATGATACCATGTGGCAGGAAGAACAAGTCGTGCGCCTGTTGGTAAGCGACACGCTTGTCCGTAACACTTGCAGTGCCATTCAAAGATTTATATCGGAAATACCTGAGGAGCACAGCCACTGCGCACGACTCCCTGAGCTGAGACATACGTTGACAAGTCCCATGTGCCTGTAATTTCACCAGCACCCTCACCCTTCAAAACCGGAACGCAATAATGTGACCATTAATGCTTGGCGACAGAAATAGGTAAGGTGGCAATACTTCCCTGAACGAACTCTGCTGTTTCTAAAGGTACTGTGATAGTATGACCCCGCTGGTTCAGTCTTCTAAAAGTTCTGCCATTGGAGATGTGATTTAAAATCGCAAAAACCTCAGAGGCACTGCCCTTACCATTTTTTTAATTTGAATGTAAAGTTTGTGATAAACAATTCTGGCTATACCTGTGGCTCATAGCCTTCCTAACACATACTATACCAAAATTGACGCTTACCACCTTAAGAGTGCAGGCAACAACAGCCACCTGCAGTTTGCTTCTTCTCGCAAAAAACTGGTGTTTAAGGGCCAGATAATATTTATATTGTAGCACACCTATAGTCCATTTCACTTAGGATGGGTACCATGACATTTTAAACTTTTGCGTTGCATTTATACTGTTTTTAACTAATCTCTCAACCAGGTTACAAGAAGAAATTGTAAATTAGTCATAATATACTAAAAACAACCAATATTTGTTGCAATAATAATTTTAAGTAAAAAAAAATATATTAAGAATAGATAATGAGCAATGTTAAAGAAAAAAATAAATTACCCCAACTAGTTGATGCGTAAAACGGAATATGTAGCCATAGAGACTTACACCACAGAATCGATAAATCGAATCGGCAAAGGTATATCTCGCGTCAATATAAGTGCATTATGCATCATTTATAAGTCCTTTTTTTTGTTTTGAGTTTTGCGCGATATCTTTGAAATAAAATGTTCAAACTACGTTTTGTTGCTGTTGATTTTATGCTTTGTTGTTGCCTTTTTGTGTGGTTGTTGTTAATATAATTTATTTGTTGTGTAGTTTTTTAGTAACGTAATAATTTAGTCCTTTTTATTTTATTTATTTTTTTAATTATTTAAACTTTACTTTGTGTGCACAAAGTAGTACGAATGGCGGACTTAATGCAATTAGGCATTCTCTACCAGTCAACCGGAGAGCTGGTTCATTATTTGTAAACCTCTCTAAATCTTTTCTCTCTTAGTTGCAAATTATTTCAATAGGATATTTAAATCGATTTTTGATCATTCGATTTTACATCATCACGTCTCTAGAAACTTCAAATTCCAAACGTCACCGTACCCACTGTTGCCAAGTAGGCGATTTTTCGTCATTTAGGCTGCTTTAACGGGTCGAGCGGCGACTATAAAAGTAATCGGCGACTTGGTGATATTTAGGCTGTTTGAAATAGGAAAGCGCGATTTTAGGCTACTTAATAAATGTCTGGGAATCACAAATTTTATAAATTATTTGGGGATTTTGTGATGAACTCTCTTATTTCCCCATTTCCCCAATGTCCGGCAGCAAGCAGAATTGTAGAATTATCTTTCTTGATTTTTAGGGATTTTATGGCTTGGGCGAATATCGGCTACTTAACATACATAAATTGGCGAATTAACTTCACAAAAGTCTGGCAACACTGACCGTACCCCATGCTATGTGAAATGAGCTTTCTTTTTATAGCTACTATATCAGCTTGCAATCAATTTTTTTTTATTCTGGATAGGCTTCATCTTTGTCGATACAGCCTAATGAATACCGTGTTTGTCCATAGGCACAAACTCCAACAATTCGTGCTCTTCAGTGTCCGGCTCACCTCCTCCGGAGGAAGACTGTGGGGATGACTCTGGAGGGAAGAGAGGGGTTCTTCCCAGACATGCCACCCAGGTCATGAGAGCCTGGTTGTTCCAGCACCTTGTGGTATGTTACATTAATTAGTCATAGAAAACACACCACTTGGAATCGGATTTATTTTCGACAACTACGCACAATGCACTAGAGATGAACGTTTAACTATAATTAAATATTATGACTACTTAAGAGTATGTATACAACCTCAAATGGCTTTGGTTAATCCAAACACTTTGGAAAAAATATGATAATACTGTACGGTGTGAAAACACGATGCCTAAAAATTTTTACAATAGAAAAAAGAACAAATTTACCTCGAAATTTTACAGGAAAACCCGCTGTATTTAATAAGTACTTTATATCAGTGATTTCTTTTATATAAACTGAACTAAATAGAACATCTATACTAAACAATATATGTATTTCAAATGGCTTCAATTTTGTTTGCAAAAAACTAAATTCTGATATAAAGCCAGTGTCCCTGCCGCTCGACCCATGCAAAATGAACCATATTAGTATGGGAAAAACTTGAATTCAAACTGAGGTAGTATTAACTCTAAAGGGATTACAATTAATATGTGTTACAGGCATATTGTTTCATTTTAAAATTATATGCTAATGCTTGTAGTGTAGTGGCAGTACATTCCAGGATGAACTCTTTCACAGCTCTACTAATAAAGAAATATTTTTCCAGCACCCCTACCCAACTGAAGAGGAGAAACGAACCCTCGCAGCGCAAACTCGACTGACGCTCCTTCAAGTTAACAACTGGTTCATAAACGCGCGTCGCAGGATCCTACAGCCGATGCTGGACTGCAGCGATAAACCAGGTTAGCCATTTGTGCTGAACATTCCGCCTTATCAAGTGATGAGACAAACAGATGTGCGCCTGGTGGTGAACGACATAACAGTTACAGTGTCACTCGGACTTGTAATCTCACTAGCACCCGTACTTTTAGTTATTATATGACCTTGTTGTTTTACCGTGTGGTCCATTTAACAATATGGTCAGTTCAATATCTAGTCGCTTTGCTACCAAGTCATTGTAAGTTATAGTCTTTCTGCAGAAGTGATTGTTTTGCGGTGTAGTCTTATGCTGATCAGGTCATTTTGAAAATACAGTCATTAGGGTACTGACCCTACAAAACTGAAACTTGGTAATGCTCACATTACAGCAGAAACGGGTAAGGTTGCAAAACTTCCCTGAGCATATTTTCACAACAAGGAGTACTACAGCATCTAAATACGCGCGATTCGAAAAAATATTGCGTAAACGTAAGAACTCTGTTTCTCTCTGTTCTGGGGTATGTGGATTTAAATTTTTTCTCTGATCTTTAGGCTTGCTTTCAAGTTACACGGTTAGGCTTCTGGATCGTATTGCGTCAGATGTACTCATTCAATCTTGTAGGAGGCCGGTGTGACTGCACTTTCCTGCTACTACTGTAGACAATGTCACATACGTTGCTCAAAATAAGTACTTTTGGAAGTACAGTAAAGGAAATCAGAAACAGCGACGGTACCACAAACACCTAAACCCGAGACAACATAGAAAAATTTTCTACATTGCCCCGGCCAGGACCTCAGATATGGCGACACCTTGATAAACGGTGTGCAAGCCACTTGGCTACGGAACTCGTCTAATCTTCCATTACAATAGCTAAAAAAAAGGAAAATCAGAAGCATTATTATTTAATCACATATTTATAGTCTATTTAAAACAAAATAATAACACACACTCAACATAGCCCCGCACTAGGGAATCCCTGTGTCGCGGGTGCCATGGACACGCGCATAGTCAACCACAAATTACACACAACATCACGAGAGAAATAAATGTAGGCCATACAAATATTTCTCCCGGTCCGGGAATCGAGCTGGGACCTCTGCGTGGCAGTCCGGCATGGTAACCAACCGTACGGTCACGGAGGCAGTTCTGTCTATGAAACATCTATGAAGAATAAGTAATGCAAAGTGATGAATATGACGGGGGACTCTCCGGAGGGGCATTTACGGAGAAACCGTCTCCCATAATTCTGGAAATGAAAACTTTACTCAGTGGAACAATAACTTCCATGCACTTAACTGGAAATATGTCGCGTTTGATATGATTTTAATTGAACTTCAAGGCTATCGTAATAAAGAATGTCCACCGGCGCGGGTTTCCCCACTTACCTACACTCCACACTGTCGGCTAACCTGTCATGCCAGGAGAGCGAACATTGCAAAATTAGGTGTTGCCCTTTTTGATAATTAGCTAGTAGTGACCAAAGAGTATCTTATACATAACAAGTATAGAGTCATCAGCACCAAAGACCCTTGGTGGCTGACGCGGAAAGTATTTTTTCCCTATACATACATACACATATCTCCAAAAGTAACTGCCTCCGTGGCCGAACGGTTACCATTCCGGACTGCCCAGGTTCGATTCCCGGGCGGGGAGAAATAATTGTATGACCTATATTTATTTCTCTCGTGAGTTTGGGTGTAATTTGTTGTCTATATGTGTGTCCATGGCATCCGCGACCATCATCCATCCACCGACATCCATCTATTGAGTATGTATTATGATTAGACCATGGTAGGGACTTCTTACAATTATCTCACAAATTAATATTAATGCCATCTATTATATAATTATAAATAATATTATAAATCAATAACTATCAAAACGAGGTAATGAATTTTAACGCGCTGCGTGTGGTTTTCTTTGTGAACGTCGTCATAATTGTCACAATTGATAAAATATATTTGACTCAATTTTATACACAACTTTGACTTGACCTCACTCTGATGCGATGACGCACCGAAGACGAGGCTTTAGCAGCAATAGAGCTCCTTGTGAAATAGTTTTTCCAGGGAAGTACTACCACCTTACCTATTTCTGCCGCCAAGCAGTAATGTGAACATTACTGCGTTCCGGTTTTGAAGGGTAAGGGTGCTGGTGAAACTACAGGCACATAGGACTCTTTTCAATTTACGTCTCCGGGTGACGGGTGCAGAGGCGGTGCACCTTAGATCTTTGCGATATAAAGCTCTGAGTGACACTGCAACTGTTATGGACAGGCGTGTCGTTTACCATCAGGCTCGTGACTTGTTCGTTCCATTGCTTATTATCATAAAAAAAAAGAAAAAAAAGAAAGGCTTAATACCTATAAACCCTATAGAATAATTCCGTACCTGAGAAGCATTGCACTGTAAGCGCCATTTTTGTAATTTTACGGGGGAAGCAATTTTGTGTCGAAAAGCAGTTTGTACGACAATTAGGGTAACGAAATCGAAATGTTATTAAAACTCAATTAGTTTTATTTCAAGCCATTCTAAATGTTGTCCATGCTGCATTTCGACACAAAGTTGCATCCCTTGTAAAATTACAAAAATAGCACTTACAGTGTAATGCTTCTCAGGTACGGAATTATTGCATTAAAGACTTGGCGTATTTATGCCGATTTACATACAAGTAACAAGACAAATTCAACAATACTTGGCTGTGTGATTTCAGACCTTTTCCTTTACGGAAAACGAACAAAAAAGAAAATAAAAATAGTTCTAATATTAAAATCTACTTTATAACTTTCAGGTGGTAAGAAGAGCAAAAATGGTTCTTCCATAAGCAAGCGTTACTGGCCAGATGCGTTGTCCAACCCACAGTTTACAGCTGGTAATATATAATTTTAGTTTCTCATAATCATCATTTCAACCAAAACACTACTGAATATAAGCCTCCCTCAAAGAAAGCCACAACGATCTCTCCTGCGCCGCTTGCCTGGCTATGTCAGTTACTCTGGTTACCTTGCGGATATCCTCATTACTGATTCGATCTCGCAACGAATTTCCGAGCATAGCCCTTTTCATTGCCCTTTGAGTGACCTTGAGCCTTATGAGGCCCATAGTGAGCGATCACGTTTCAGTGCCGTAAGTCATTATTGGCAACACTGGACGAAGACTTGTCTTGAGACACTGTGGTATTTTGGACAAGAAGATATGGCGTAATTTCCCGAACGCTGCCCAGCCGAGTCTCTCTCTCTAGTTTCTCATACAATGTTTCAAAATGTATACAGGCTGACACTTTATTTATGTCCGTTATTTTAAGAGAACGTAGCACTTATTATAGTCATCACAATGTAAGAGGCCCAAATTGACAGCTACGGAAGACGTTAAGTATGTAACTTTGAATGCAATCAACGAAACAGTAACTATACAACTATTAATTTATTGGATTTTTTAAAATGCATTAATTTTAGTAATACAAATATGATAGAAATATTTCTAGTATTATTTTCGTACGAACTCGAAAATAGAATGAAATTTTGAGTTAGCTTGAAACGTCTAAACAGTTACGTCCTCAATCTATTTGTTTTTAAATATCAGTGTTGTAATAAATTAATTGCCGAATTTTACCGGTTTGTTTATACTTGTTGATTATATCAATCCTACCATTCCAGGTCTATTATCATCCTCTGAAGATGAAGAACAGGAAGGCGAGGGTTCGGGAGATGAACAAGACCAGCCGAGCAGCGAGTCCAATGATCATTACCCTTCAATACCACAGAGCATGCATTAAAGTTGGGCAATGTGATCAATATTGGGAAGCAATACATCAAAACATGAAGGCAAAATTTGGGCTGTAAAACAAAAAAAAAACACAACTAATGAGCAAAGAAAAACATAGAACAAATACCTAAATCATAAAGCGTTTTGCCTGTTTTAAACTACACTAAAAACTAAAGGGTGGTATGATGCAATACAATTTACACAAAAAGTAATAATAATTAAAAAGAAAAGTATTAATAATTATGAGGCAATAAAACAAAAACCATACTTGTTAGGGCATTTTGCTCTGTAAGTCACAAAATAAAATATTGGGCATTGTCCTCAACTGAATGATCTGTGAGGCTTTTAAGGGCGCCTTCACATTAGACGCTTATAGAAGTGTTGCAGTTGCGTCACTGTGTCACTACTAAACTTCATACAATATTTAGAAGAGCAGTTGCAGCGCCACTGTCGTGTTACGCACGCGCCACTTTTGCAGTCCCAATTAGTGAACAAAAAATTACTGCTGCGATTCTATAAGCGTCTAATTTGAAGACGCTTTAAAACTTCTACAGCATTAAAACAAAAAAAATCCGAGTAATAAAACACAAAAATAAAATCTGATAATAGTTTATAAATAAAAAATGCTGTGCTTTATCAAGACTTCCTTTTCGTAGCTATAGGTTGTTATTAAAATGAATTAAGCTTAAAGTATTGTCTACGACCCGTGCGTCTACCATAAGTTTACGGTGCCAGTTGTCGCTGGCGAATGTGTAAAATATTTGTTTACAAAATGTTACTTCTTGTCACAGTAATGGGCGCTGTACAATTTACAAATATGAAATTGTCAAAATATTTTACACGGTTGCTAGCTGCAACTGTCATTGTAAATTGATGGTAGTTGCACTGTATACATTTTTCTTAATGAAAATGTTTAAATTATTATGTTAATAGGTATGTATTTTTTAAATTTTGTAATACCATGACAATCTATACACGCCACACTACAACAGAAAAAAAATTAAAAGCAGGACATATTTTAATGCACGCCATTTATTTTAAGGAAAAAAAAATACAGACTAGTGCATAACAGTTAGCATCTAGATAAGGCCAATTTGGAATAAGAACTTTCCAAAAATTGGTTTGAGCTAGATAGTGCTCCGGATTTAATTTTATTACCCTAGTTCTAGAGACCAGGTATTCACATGGTTGTCTGGTATAATATTATTAGGGTGCTTTCAAATTAGACGTTTATAGAATCGCTGCAGTTATTCACTGTGTGACGCAGTTGTAGTGCCACTGTGAACTGAAAATGCTGAAGCGTCACTGCACTGCTTCTATAAGCGTCCATTTTGAAGATGCCCTTAATTTGAAGTATAAAAAAGAAAAAAGTCGGTTATTATTAATTTGCTCTCTTAATTATATTTTTTAAAGTGCGTTCTGGCTAAGTATTTGAAAAAAAAGACACTATACGATCAGTATACCATAATTGTAAGTATTATTATAGCATATTAAAACCATGTATACGTAAAACATACCTCACTATTTAAAAAAAAATTAAAACTTATCACGTCACAAAAAAGAACGGTCACAGAAAATTTTAGATTGCGGTAAATAATATAGTAAGCCGTATGTTTAAAATCAATGCTATAAAAATGCTTTATAAAAAAAATCGTATTTATAATAAAACGAAAACCGTTGTAGAAAAAAAATTGTCCATGTAGGTATTAAAAATTCTTTTCCTTATTTACCGTAATCTAAAATTGTTAATTCCAATATGGGGGAATCGATTTTCGTATATAAAAAAAGTAAAATAAGTTTTAAGAAATCTATTAAAATAGACAAAATCTTCTTCCATGTAGTGAAATTTGTGTTATTAAAAAAGTGGACGTTCAAGAGTTTTCTCCTTGACGCTTCGTACGAACAAATTAAAGTATGCAACCTGTCAATTTTTAATATTACCACTGCATCACCAACTCATGCGATGTGGTAAAATAAGGGACTGACACGTCGTGATACCAAACAAATTACAGGTACAACAGGATTTGTCCACAGTTCACTTTGACTGAGTTACTTGTGTCTCAGGGTGACGTGCGTGTCGCATATTCCCATTATGTCGTGACGACAGATAATCGTGCAGTTTAAAGTTCCGTGGCTTGATATTTAAATGAAGTTGTTCACACATAGAACAACACGATTTACTGTCGTTCACGACTTTTTTGACGTTACGATGACAGATTGTCGTGATAATGGGAAGAGCTAGAACGACAGTTGTCCAACGATAAATAAAACGTCTCTATAAAAATGTGACGACAGATAATCGTAGCTTCAAACGATTCTCTCGTGCAAATGACAAGGCGGCTGCCGTGACCCGATAAATTGTCGCAACGATCTAGTGGAAAGAGCTAGACAAGACGCTTAACGATAAAATAAACGTCCACGACAGTTACGGTGGTCGTGATATGGGAACAGGCTAGAGCGACAGTCGTCCATCAATAAATAATACGTTACGACCGTTGACTTACAATTATATGGACGTCGGGTCCGCGCTAAAAAGTGTCCGAACTTATAGGGCGTTAAAATCGTATACAGAGCGTCATTCACGCTCTAGTCTTCGTTTGTTCGACTGACAGCGAAGCAAGCAAAATTAGACAGTACTGCGATGACATTACAATTTAAATTCAACGTTTTAGCTTTTTCATATTCCTTTACATGTCACTACGTTTAAATAGGTTGACTTGGGACATTTTTTTCGTGGTTTTGGTATTAGACCCGTCGTCCATTTATTTGTAAGTCAATGGTTACGACATAATGGCAACGCGGATAGTAAAGATCCGAACGGCACTGCCACTGAGCCTGTCACTCTGAGATATAAGTTGACAAGTCCCATGTGCCTATGATTTCACCAGCCCCTTAACCCCTAAAAACTGGAACGCAGTAATGCTCACATTGCTGCTTGGTGGCTGAAATTGGTATAGTGGCAGTATTTTCCTGGACTCTAATGCTCGTAAAGGTACAACACTAGCGACGTAAAGTACCATTTTCATTATCGAATTTTGTTAGAATGTATACTTTAACTTGGAGCCGTTTTCGTTTTTTAATGTGAAGCTGTTAGTGTTGTCAATTTTTATAAACCGGGTTGTGAAAAATGTTATCTTCAGTTCCCTTCTCCCCCTTTGCCGACTGATTGAAAAGAAATAGAATATAAGAATATTTTTTACCACTAAAAAACTATAGAGAACCGTCCACAGATATTTATTTAAATGTAAAATATAAGTTTTAAATAATATACTTACTCATTGTAAAATTTTATTATTTCTAAAGATTTTTTTAGGGCAGCCATATTAGGTATATAAAATATCGTAAGCACTGCACTAAACGTTGATTTTAACAAAAAGAAAATAATTTGTAGTGGCAACGTTTTTCGGAAAAAAAACAAAAGCGGACGCCATCTTAATTTTTTTTGTATTTTTTGTTAAAATCAACGGAGTGCAAATTTTTAACGATTATACGACCTAAACTATACGATTTCTGTAAATTCTGTATACTCAATTTGATTCAAAACTCGTATACGTCGGAAAGTATTAACATATAAATCATTTTTAAAATTTTTAGATGTAACAACAATCGAATGAAGAGTTTCCACTATACAATTATTAATTAGTTAAATGTTTCTTACCACTGTATGATTTTATATTCTTGCGGTATATCACTTCACGTACTTATAAAAAAGACAAGTAGTATTTTTTTTGTATGTATCTTACGCGATTACGTTGTGTGATGTGTGAACCAATTTCCAAGATTCTTTGTTGGATAGAGGGTGCCTCAGTATTGGTCCTATTGTAATTTGAAGAATATATTCCATCCCTAAGGGTGGGAAACTAGGGGATGAATCCGATTTCGCGCACTTTCCGTAACCGATTCTAATAAAACTTGGCAAATGTTAAAAAGTTACCATTGCTGCCAAGCAGAGGTCCCAGGTTCGGTTCACGGGCCGGGGGAATTATTTCTATGGTCTACATTTATTTCTCTCGTGAGTTTGGGTTTAATTTGTGGTTGTCTATGTTTGTGTCCATGGCACCCGCGACACAGGGTTTCCCTAGTGCGGGTCTATGTTGAGTGTGTGCGTTACTATTATTATTATTATTAATTCTACGAACTTTTAAGGTTTTTTTTGTAATAAAGTTACAATTATTTGAAAATGTGGTGCAGGTATATTCGTGCACCATAAATTTAAACGCAAAACAAGTAATACCATAGACAATGTTTTTTTAATTCTGCATGATTGGGAAAAATATATAATTTTTTTACGGAAAAATCGTGCCGTGGTAAAGAATCTGTAATTAGTGGTAATTGTTTAGTGAACAATCTCGAATTTTTTTAAAATCTATATTTTTCACTATAGTATATAGGAATTGTGAAATTGGACTTACTTTTAATATGAATCATAATTAGATGTTCAAAATGTAAACAAGTAGGATAACCGAGCAAAAAAAAAATATTTAAAATGGTAGTTTCTTTTTTATTATTTCATTTTTGACGATAATAAATGTTCATATTACCGCGTTTCAAGCGATAATCTGGTAAAACTTAGAACGTTTCACATTTTGCAATATATACTTTTATTTAATTTTGTTTTATACAATAACTATGATTTAAAGTTAAAGGTCGTAAATGATTTTGTGATACTGGTAATACAATCGGGATCAAAAACATTTTTTCTGCCGCCATTTTGTCGAGTCATAGGCGTCCTTCGTGATTCGTTTCACGAACTCGGATGTTTTCTTTTTTTTATATTATTGTATGTTGTTGTTAAAGTTTTTGTTTATTGTTAATATTTTGTAATAGATAATTAAAATTTTAGAAACAATTCCGTTAAAAATATAGTTTAGCACACCTACAATCACACTTCGCCGATGACATTACTTTATTTACATTTTTAACGTCTAATTATGATTCATACTATACACACAATATCTGATAAAAAGTTTGGGAAGCAATTACACCATTAAAAGACACTCCAATAGAAAGGTGCAAGCGATTAACAAAAAAAAACTTCATTTAATATAGACAATTTTTTTTCATTTTTTAAGATATAGATTTTTGTGGCTTAAGGCATTTTACTGCTGTTTTTTAATAGTGTTCAATAGTGTGTGTTTCATGAAAATATTGAATTGTACATAAACAACATTTTTGAAAAAAAAAGAACACTCCTCTCG